TTTAACATGATTGGACTTCACATGAGACTCCCACGAACTTTCGAAGTTGCTGCATCAGAACAGACTTTCTGAAACTGGGTGATTTCTGACTACTGAGGTTTACCTTCAAATACAGTGGTGTCAGTTCTTACAGATTCCTTGCAGTAAGGGCTTTCTAGGGACACTTTGATGTCGGTCTAAATCCTCCTAGGTTTCTCAGAACTGCCTCACGAAACCCCTATGTGAATCTGGCATTAACAAGACTTGGACAGAATTTTGTATTCTAGAAAAACAGGGATTTCGGCTCAAATTCTAGATCAGGTTGCGGATGCATTTTACTTTCAAATGATAATCCGTTAACTTTCTTAGAAACGTGGCAACAAGAGCTTTGCATAGACATCTATATCGTAATCTGACTCTTCTTAATTCGCCAAGAAACGACTTCACAAAAAGCTCCCACAAAACTGGAAAACAGTTATGAGACCAAAATCTCAGTTTTAACAGATTCGACACCTCATAATGAAACGATCATAACAAATCGGATATATCTCCAAATCCAACGATCTAATAAGTTACGGAAGTCTGAGAAACAGATCTTTTCAATGACACCAAGATCATGATCTACATTAATCTGCGGTGACGTGAAACTGGCCTGCAATGACGACGGTTCGAAATCTATTAATTGTGGCTTCTTCTTACGTCAATGGTTCCACGTCCAGAAGCTCTGGCTTGGTCAGAAAAGTGATGGTGGCGCCCCCGGGATCTGGGAAGGTGTTCAGTATGGTCAACAAGGCTTATCTCTTTTGATTCTCGCTGCGGTGTTCTGCTTGGGGAGGAAGAAGAGGACGATGGGAGTAACTTTAGGTTTGGGCTATGGTGGGCTGGAAGTTTTAATTGGGATTTTCTTATTTATAGTGTTTGGGTCGTTACAGTAACATTACTTGAAGAAGATGATTCACAGTGCCCTGCCACTCCGAGCTTACAGCAGTACCAAGCAACTTTCCTGCTATCCCCATCCAGGCTTTGTATGTGTAAGGATAGGCGAAGAACATGTGATCACACATTTCACCCGGTTCAGAACAGAATAAGCATATTTGAATTTGGTCCCAGTTATGCTTGCGATCCTTTGTAGAGAGCCGATTACGTAGCGTAAACCAAGTCATAAGCGAGTGTTGAAGCACCCCTGAGAGAAGCAGACAATGCTTTGCCATATCACGGAATCTCCTCTTTGTCGAATTTGATTCCCAATATTGGCAGCTAAAAAATAGACTGATAAACCACTCATCGTGCCGCCATAATATCATGTCCTTCCCAACATCATAACATGGTGTAGGTTTAACAAGAATATAACATAAAGATCTCTATAATACCTTCCTCTGCGGTCCCGAACTGCCCACTCCGAGTCCCCTGCTGCCTCAGCCATTGTTGCCTTTCTGGGGACACCCAAGATACAAGTACATGCATCCCTTGTGATATTTATGAGTTTTTCTACCTTAATTTAGTCATCAAACTAGAAAGATACTAATTTATCATCTCTTATTTCATGCCGGATAAACGGATATGCTTGGTCTCTGAGCGTCAAAAGCTTGCCCCATACTCAAGACCCTTTGTTACCCTACAACACTGCATAAAAAGAACCATTTTCAGTAGGTAGTGGTGAATCCAAGCCATCCAAAGAGATCTTGACAAGGAGAATAGACGCCAAATCAGACTTAGTGCAAAAACTCTAGAGGAGTTGTGGAGATGATATAATCACAGCTCCCCTTCCGATTTGGGTTTGCATATATCTGCCCATGATACTTTAGCTTTACGAGTATCACTTGGGGAACCCGACCAGAGAAAGGCACTGCATACGCTTTCAATCATTTCTAAACACTTATTAGTAAGGATGTACGCCGAACACCAGAAGTTAATAGTGCTAGTGATCACATACCGAATAAGTTGAAGCCTCCCCGCATCGAAAAAGGGACTGTGAGCCCAAGACAGGAATCTGATACGTATCTTATCTAGTAGAGGCTCAATCAACCGCAGTCAATGCTTTCATCGTCAAAGGCAGTCCCAAGTATCAAATTGGAAGAGATCTAATGGATATTGAAGAAGGACTTTTGCAAGTCTTAACTCAATCCCTCTCTAATCAGATGATGTTTATCAATCCATCTAGGAGCTAGAATAAAAGAGATGCAAGGTACTAACTAAGCTTAATCAATATGATAAAGATGGGTTATCTAACAACCTAAGTGGACAAAGATGAAATGCACAAACAAAAGAAAGACTAGCAAGACTAAAGCAAGCAATGCAATGCAAAAAAACTAAATGCAACAGGAACTAACAAGGCAGTGAACTAAATGCAACAAGACTAAGATAAGCAAAGCAATAGAAGTGCAAGAACCAAAATAAATGCTAAATGCAATAACTTGAAATGCAAGGTAAGGAATGGAATAAAAGCAAGCAACTAAAAACAGAGGAAAAATAGAACACAAAGTGATGAAAAGCAAAGAACAATGAAGTGCTGGTTCAAGGCTAGAGCAATGATGACTTGAAGATTACTTAGTATCAAACCTAGGGTGGTCAAGACTGATAACAAGCAAAGAACATGATCAAGCCACTAAATCAATCAATCCGTATCAAGAGCAGAAATAACTAAGTTTAGCACATGTCAGACCCACTTGTGATGGCGTATCTGTGCAAAACCAGCCCACAACAAGAACATAGATGTCTAAGTTAAGCACATGTCAGACCCACTTGTGATGGCGTATCTGTTCAAAACCAGCATGAAAACAAAATACTCTTATAGACCAAACATGCTACCTAAACGCCAATATAAAAATCTAGGAGAATGTTCCTAACAAAGTTTTTTCAGGCATTTAAACAAACACTTGTGATGCAGCAAACACCTATAATCAGTTTCACCCTAATAGACTTACTAAGCATTAAGAAAAACTAAGCTAAGTGATCTAAGCATTTATCAAACCAAAACGCCCTAAATAATCAACCAATCATCCCCAAATCTGCTCCAACCTCAAACCATATGAAACTACTCACAACACATAGCAAAATCGACAGAAACAAGCAGAGATGATATATCAAACATGATTAAAACAAGAACTAGAAGAAAGATAACAAAGGAAGTGCAAAACTTTATTAAAAGAGTAATCTTGATCAAATCCCATAAAAATCTCTTTGTGGTTTCCCACAAGGTTGAAAAATAGGGTAAGGAAGAAGATAAGAAGCTAAAAAGATAAGGTTTAGCTTAAATAAGCTAAGAAGATAAGGTTTGACAAATAGTAGAAAAATCTTGGTCAACTCTCGACGCTGACACATCGAGGTGCAAAGGAAGGTGTTCTGCTCGATGCTGTCAACTCGATATCGAGGTGGGTTCTCGGTGTTCTCCTCGATGTAACACCTCGATATGGTCCGTGCAGCGTGTATCGACGTCCTTCCTCGATGCTGGTCCTTAATGGAGACCAACGGCTTGGAATCCTCGTACTGATCCTTCTCCTCTTGTCCTGCTGCTTGCATCGAGCATACTCCACAGGTGTTCTGCTCGATGTGCTTGCTCGATATGGACCAGACTTTGCAAAAACTCCATTTCTGACATCTTCTTTGATCATGACCTGCTTCCATCTCCTCCCCAGCTCCAAGAAACTCCAAAAACACCTGAAGACCATCACAAACATGCACATGTATGCAAATGTATGCAATCCTAAGCTAAGTGCATGCCATGTTGATTCTAAGTGCAAATGATACTAAAATGCTAAACTATAATGCAAAAACAGAGGAAAATATGCATGAAATGCAGCCTAAAATGATCTAAAATAGCAAGCTATCAGATATCCCCAACTCTGCCATCCTCGATAGTAACTCTGTATCCCTCTCGCCAGCCACATATATGGATTTTTACAATGCATTAATACACAATCCGGATGTGAATACAAATGCACTAAAAACTGCATTAATCGCTGCCAGTGACCCTTAGGAACCATCCGTAAACACTAGAATGTCATTCACAAAACTTAAATGTGTAAGCTTTACTTTTTTACACATTGGATGATAACCAAACTCACCATTCACTACAGCTTTATTCAACATCTTGGAGATGACATTATTAAGTATGACATATAGATAAGGTGAGAGTGAGCAGCCTTGTATAATCCCCATGCACTTGTGAAGAACCCTTCTAAGTCCCCATTCACTGCAATAAAGAAGCTTGTTGTTGAAATGCACACATATATCCAGTGGATGAACAACATGATAATACACATGGCATGCATAACTGATCGAATAAAAGAATATTTGACTGTGTCAAAAGCTTTGGTAATGTCAAATTTTATTACACATCTGGTTGGAGGAGAGTGTTTGTGATAACCGTTCACCAGTTTAGAAGACAGTAAAACATTTTACAGCAAGAGTCAGCCCTTAATTAATGCACTTTGGTTTGCCTCTATTGCTTCAGGTAACATAACTTTTAGTCACTTTGCTATGACCTTAGAAATAACTTTTTACAATAGGTTCCAACATGCAATCGGTCTGAAGTCTTTCATTGTCTTTGGACTATCTGATTTCGGAACAAGTGAGAGGATAGTGATGTAAAACTCCTTAGTGTAGCTGTCAGGACCTGGAACCTTATCTTTAAGGAGTGAGTGAAGAGCTGATTGGATTTCAGAGGCTGGTACAGGCGTAGAAAAAGCAGCTGCAACATCAGTAGAACAATGATAACTGGTAATATCGTCCAGATAGTCCAGATTAATTTTCCCTGCATCTTGGCTCTGTGTCTGAAAAAATCGTTGGTAGTAAGTCACTACTTCCCTTTTTATATCAGTCAGTGCTGTTAACACTTCCCCCGGTTCTGTTTAAAGTTGCTTGATGGCATTTCTTACTGTACGACCTGCAGCTGCTTTATGGAAGGCAATCAGTGTTGTGATCATCCACCGTGAGCTATCTCACCCTTGATTTCTATCTGAAGAACCGCTCCTCCACATGCGCTAGGTGTAGCCATCGCTCAGATACCTCTGCTGCTTCTTTCATAGTATCCTCTGATGGATTCTGTAACACCTCTGTCTAACGCAAACATAGCTCCTCATAAGCACTATGAGTACAGTTTGGCAAATTACTGGAATGTGTTTTGTTCGGTTTCCGCAACTCTTATTTTAAGGACTTCAATTGCTTATAAACCTTATAGAGAGCAGCTCGAGAGTGATGGAGTGGAGGCTGCTCTCTCCGCTACAGTGGGCATTACATAATTCGCCAGAAAGTTGGAAAACTTAAATGGTTTACTAACCTTAGAGACAAGTTGGGATAGATAAATGACACACCTCACATGATCAGTTATAACCCTGCCTCAAAACTTGCATATAAGTGTGGGAATATTATAAACCAGGTCCCATTAATCAAAAACTGGTCAAGTGTCTTCTCTATCGGATCACACTGACGCTTATTCCACCAAGTGAATATGGTGTATATGTGTGTTAGGTCCACCAAATTGCAACCCATTACAAGATTCTGAAAATATCTCATGCCGACTTGATTTGTGTGCTGATCATACCCTCGATAATACTCATTGATGCTAATTTTTCATTATAATCCCCTAGCAATATCCACAGCTTTGATAAATGCCCATATACGGCTTTAGTTGCTCGTATATCCTCCATAGATCTCTCCTTTCTGCCTCAAAATTGGACTTGTATACCACATAACAGATAAAATCTTCCCCAGTTCCCACCACCTGAATAGCAGATGTAATAATTTGTGTACTCTTATGTAAAAAAGTTACCACGACTGCACCTGACCAACAAAACCAAATATGCCCTAGCCGATGGTAGTCATAGTTATTGAAGATAGACCAACCTGGTAACGCTGAACTCACTATCCCACTATAGTTGTCCTGCTGCACTCGTGTCTCTACTAAACATCCAAACAGTGGTTTTACCTCCTGAACCCATCAACGAAGCACCTCATGTTTACATGGTGAATTGAATCCACACAGATTCTAAGCAAAGAATAACGTCATAATTTCCATGAGAAAACGTTTTTCGTGTTTTTGATGGTGATGTTTTTCAGATCCTTGGACCTGAGTATGATATTTTTATTGTCTCGTGTGGCAGACTTATTGCCTTTCCCTTTTAAATGCTTAGCCTCAATTCCTGTCTCATCCTTTGTTTCCCCAATCACCTCCCCTTCTTCTATTTCCTACTGCACACTTTCCTCCTCCTCTACTGTTTCAGCAGGTAGTTGGAACCGTAAGGGTGATTCTGAGTGCTGACTCTGATTAATGGTAGTCGTATAGGGTGAGGATATGTGTGCTACCAAGACTCTAATTCATTGATAGTAGAATAAATTTTGCCCGCATGTAGAGCATTACCAATGAAATAGCCAACAACAAAACACTTTCAAAGCATCTCATTATCCTCAAAACCTCAGTAAGAACTGTGACAGAAGCCGTGCTATTTTTGACCACGAAATTTGGAGAGATCCCCTCTGACGTACTTGTCGCACCTTCCACGACAGATGACCAATGCTTATTCGGGACCATGAAGACATTGATATGAGAGGAGGGCTGAGAAATATTATTTTTCGACGAGGCTCGAGACCCCATCTTTATACCTATAAAACACAAGTTAGTTGGTAATTCTATGTTTGACAAGTGTTTTTTATTTTTAAAAATAAAAATACTTTTTATTTTATTATTTATGTCAAAAATAAATAATTTTAATTTAAAATTATTAAATAAGATAACGATGCTTTTTGCATCCACGATCTCTCAAATTCAACTTCCTACTATTCACCACCATCTTTATCTCACTATTATATTTCATAATCCTTTAACTTCTAACTGTTACTTTTTCAATATGTAATTTATTTATTGTCGGCTTCTGGGTTCAGCGTTTGTAAATCAAAAATTTGAAATTATTTTTCTCAATTTCATTTCAGTTACTAATTGTGGGTCTTTCCTTGAGTTCTCTAATCGGTTTCAGAATCTTCACATCGCCTAAAATCGCTGGATCGAGTGGTGTTTTCTCGTCGAAGAAGGTGATAAACATGATCAAACTGAAAGTTCTAAAGAGTATAGCTTTCGATCCAGCAGAGGAAGGTCTGTGCATTGGTGTCTTCGAGGTCAGGTCCTGAAATGGCACGAAGAATCCTTGGATTAGCAGATTTTGCTTACATATTGAGTAATAGGTACCCCACATTTATAGTGAAGATTAGACAATTTTTTTTTTTTAATGTAGTTTCTCATTATCCTCTCTTGGGAATCTTTTGATTGTCCTAGTTTTCAATGGTAAAATTAAAGTGATTGTTCACGGTTTGTCAAATTGTTGTCATTGTGTAAGAATTGTGAATGATTTTGTTCGATTTGATCATAATTAACATAGTTTATTCTTTTATTAACTTTGATGACCTCTGAGCGAGCAATGTGCTCTCATAGGTTAGTGTGACGGCAAGTTGAATCTAACATCACAGAACTCAGATTCTGGAAAGTGTCAACCATTTAAGTGTTTTGTGCAATTCAGTATGTGACATAGATATAATTTGTTAGATTATCTCTCATCTTTTACCATGTGAATCTGGTTTATGCAGATGTTCGTTACCCATTTGTGCCAGATTGGAGCATGTGTGTGGAAGGCCATTAGGAATGTGTTTCGAGAAGAAAGCCATAGATCTTTATATTGCGGATGCCTTTCTTATTATTGGTTTTGCTGGTGGTTACAGAAGTTGAAGGGCAAAGGTTTTGTTTCACTAATAAATTGGACATTGATGAGCAGGAAGATGTAATCATGTGATTACTCCACAGTTACTAGCACCAGATTTCAGAGAAGGTAACATGAATAGAAACATCTTTCTTATTATGTGATTTTCATAAAAGAACAAAGCTAATGACTTTCTTACTTCGATGCATGAATCTCAAATTCTCATTTTCCATTGGTGATGATGATATAATTTTAAAGCTTTGTCAACGCAATGCTGATAGCCATAATATCCACTTGCAAAATCCTAAGGCTTTGGCTCTCTGGTCCAAATGCAGGAACCAAGACGTGTTTGCTCAGCTTCCGGGTGAATCTGAGTGAATCATGAGAGGTTTTGGAGATGTTTGACGATAAAGAAAGAAAGAGATTGAGGTTTATAAGTGAAGTGAAGTGGAAAGATGGTAAGCTTTTGATTGGTTCTGTTTTCATGCCATTTCTTAATGTTTATGATTTGTAGTTTTATATGTTGTACATTAAGTTGTTAACTCCCTTTTTTACGTTCTTTTTGTATTCAAAATTAGTGTTGGTAGTATATATATTTAGACTGTTAAGCTAGCTTACATGGAAACTCCGTCCGAGATGCGTTTTCTGTTTCCGAAATGTTTCAGAAACCAAACTTGTCGGAAACATGGAAAATTGTGTTTCCTAAAAATTATAGTTTGGAAACACTTTGGACACACGTTTCCATTTTGTAAACAAGATAAAAATTTGTTTTTTGTTTTTTTGGAACAAATAAATAATTATAAAATGAGATTAAGTGATTAATTTAATTCTTTTAAGTTAATAATTAATATGCTAATAATTATTTTGATTTGGTAAATAAGAATAATTTTGGTATTATTGAGTTTGAAAATCGTTCTCTCGATAAATTAGAATTAGAAATAATTTTGTTTAATGAAACTAATGAAATTGATAATAAACAAAATCTTCTAAATTTTTGAGTTTATATATTTTAATTTTATTATTTAGTAACTATAAAAAATTATATATTAGATTTTGTTGATTTAAATATTATACTTATAATATAATTTAGATATTTAATGCTTAATATATATATATATATACACGTTTCCAAAACGTTTTCATTTCTATATTTTTCTAAAATGGCGTTTCAACGTTTCGAAACATTCTGTTTCCACGTACCCATTTCCATTTCCATGAAACATAGCAGTTAAGTACTCTATCAAAATACTAAGAAAACTGGAAAAGTCTATAAATAAAGTTAACATTGTGTGAAAGAGATAAGGATATAGTGTACTCTTCGTAAATAAAAATTGAGAATTACTCCTTTGAACAATGTAAATTAAATGTTGTTAGGTTCCATTCACAAAATAATGAATCATACGATAAATATTTAAATTAGAGTAAATATCAGACAAACATATATTTAAATTGATTTTAATTGTATACATATAATGTCTTTAAAAAAATTGTGCAATCATTTATTAAAAATACAAAAAATTAGTCTGCACTACGTGCAGAGTGAATTGTTTTTAATTAACTAATTAGATCGAAATTTATTACTGATTAAATTAGTTCTATAGTTACTATATATCAAATTTAATAGATGCATTTTAGCAATAAAAAACATTAATAGATAGATTTTGATTAAATTATTAGTTAATTCCTAAAACGTTATAATAACAATAAAATTTATTGTATTCATAAAATTGTAAAAATTAAAATTGATTAGGGTTTTATAATCGATTTTAATATTTTATTATACAATGTAATTGTATAGTTAGGTTAACCCGTAAATACCAGTCATAAGAATATCAATTTGTTTTAAAAAAATAAATTATCATAGATTTTATTTTTTAATATTAAATATACATAAAAATTATATAAAATAGATTCAAAATTTTTAAGTTTAATATTACTAACAAATTTTCTAAAACTATATATAACTGAGTCAATATTTATAAACTATTAATTTTTTGATCCAGTAAAAATATATTTAATATAAAAAAGCTTGTTTAAGTTATTGTATAATATCTTAACAATTATTTTAAAAAACTTTTTTACCAAGTAATTTTGTTTTCATAAATTAAAATTTTGTTATATTTCACTTTCTTAACAAAAATGAAATGTTCATAATCTTATAATCTTTCAATATATTTAACTATTTATTATATTTTGACTTTTTAATATAATATTTAAAAATTGTTTTATCAAATTTAAGTATTTATATTATTTAATTAATTTATATGTTTCTATTAAAAATTATATTAAATCAAAAATACATTAATATGAATACCAATTAAATCAAACTTCCTACTTTTACAATTTTTTTAGCATTTATGGGGGTTTTAATAATAATTTATGAACACATATACAAACAAATACATTAATATGAATGTAAATTAAATCAAATTTTAATGAATTCAAATTATAACAACTTATATAATGATTATAATGAACGCAAATTATAATTATTTATGTTTATTTATTAATAATTTGAGTACTTTATATTCAATTTTTAAAATTTAAATTATAATACATGTACACAAAAAATCTATATATTTTTATTATATGGATGATGTAATAATTTATTTACTTTACAAAAGTAAGTTTAAATAAAAATAAGAGAAAATTATATTTTTGGTAGAAAATGTAATTAAGAAATAATTAATATTATATATTTTTGTTAAGAAAAAAAGATAAAATATCTTAATAAATTAAATGCTGATTTATAAAATGAAACATAACATATGTATGGACTTAAAATATATAATGTCATATCATGTAATTAGTCTAGTAATCTAAGTTTTTAAAACAATTAGCTGAAAATGAATGTGAGGTTGACATATCAATCTTTAACAAAAAAAAAAAGGTTGACACATCAGTATAATGGCACCACTGTAAAAACCTACAAAAATATGGTTACTCTTTATAAATACTTCTCAATTAATATATAGGGGATTTGATGGATAATTTGGCTAGACGCACACAATACAAATAGCTTGAAAGATTTATCTCTTGAAGATTTCTGTTAAGCTGGAACCTTACCACGTTCCTTCCCCTCTCTTAGTATGGATCTTCAGGCCTAACCTAGGAGGGGTGGGCAGAAGGGTGACGGTCCATTGACCAATCTAAATTTTGAAAAGAAAAAACTAAAGGAAGAAGATCTAAAAAATAAGTTGTACGGTTTTACAGGATCTTTGCAAAAAAAAGTAATTACAATAAAAACTCTAAAAAATAAAAAAAATATTATTGTAAAAAAATCCATAAAATCAAATTATAATATATTAGAGCACTTCTAACG